GTCGGAAAATCGTAGCGCTGAAAAGCTTTCTGAATGGGCTTCAAGTTGAAATCGTCTACGACACTCTTGGCCGGTGAAGAGCGACGAACGACGTTACGATTATCGGTGTTCCTTTTCCCCCTAAAAAAGAATTCAGAAACGAGCCGGATTTATGGACGTTTCCAGCTCGTTTACTGACCGATCGATCCGCTTTAGAATTTTTCAAGACAGCTTCGAAATTCTGCCCGCGCGGGGGCTTAAATGCTTCTTACCGTTCGTTCGCGTTACGGAGAAGCTAACGTTGAAAATAAGATGTCGTGATCGCGACTTGCGACGTTATCAAAAATTCCAACGCTGAGAGCGCGGCATCGTCTCAAAAAAAGCTACAGGAGACAGATATTGCCAAAAGTTACGGAAAACGCATAAAAAATCTCTCCATTCCAATTGATTCTTTTTTTTTGTTTGTATCATAGTTGATAGATTTTAAAGATGTCAATTTTGAACAGCTTTTTAATTTTCAAGTAACCTACGATAAAATGCAAGCAACCACCAAATGTCAGTGAACCGTGATACATTTCAAATGACCTACGGTAAATTACTAGTGACCAACGATAAGTTTCAAGTGACCAACATTAAACTGCAAATGACCGACGATAAACCGTGAATAATCTAGGATAAGTTTCAGATAACGTATTATAAGTTTCGAATGACAAACGTGAACCGTTCGAGTGACCGACGATAAATTGCAAATGACCTACGATAAGTATCGAGTGACACGTAAATTGAGAATATCGTTTTATTTAGTTGCTCTTTATGCTACCACGATAATTAGATGCTACTTGATTTGTACGTAACAGAACTGGTATTCTTTTTGTCAACTTTACGTTGCCATATTCCGTTTAAGAAACCAAAACAATGTTAAGGTCTCTACTGACCACGAAGAATTTTTACGGAGAATGTAATTTGACACTGCATAAATGGAAAGTTCGTTGACAGTCACGACGGCGGACGCGTTAATATTCGCGGCACGATAATGGCGGACTTAATGTGCGTTTATTTTATCTACCTTTGGAAAGTACAGCGCCAGGTAATGCCGCGAAATTCAGGGAACGCGCGTATGGTGTACGCCGACGTTCAAACAGTACCGAGAAAGAAAAGTATAACGAACCGCGGCCAGTAATTTTGTAGCATTCCACGGTGGCGGATATTTAAAAAATTCAATTTCCCTTATAAGGACGAGTTACGTCTCGTTAGAGCAACGTACGCTGTCGGGACGGGAGAACATTTTCCACGTGAAACAGTCCTTTTTCTGTATTACGTTACACAGTGACCCACATTTTGCAACGCGAACGTGTCGCTGAACTTAAAATGCTGAATAACCGTGTGCAAATCCACAGTGGTACTTATTTAGCTATACATATAATCAGATGTTCAAACCCACCAGGCAAATTTGTGAAGATGTGACAAACTAAACACTACGTTGCCCAATATTAGTACCACAGTATTTAAAAGCAAATTTAACGGGGCATCGCAACATTTTTTATAAAGTTAGATGGATTGAAAAAGGGTTGCTCAACAGGTCGTCGAGTCCTACCGAGCATCCCTGTTTCTAAGCTAAAGTTCTATTTCTTCGATATGAATTTATAGCTTCTAATAGAATTTGAATACTCTAGCAAACGAATTTTCATGTCACTTTCTTTCATTAATTGAAATAGTACAATATATTTGTTGTTCTAACTTCATATTAATTTCTGTCTCATTAGAATCCCTTATTCTAGCGTCGAAAACATTCATGTTTTGGGCAAGAACTCACGGAAATAATATATTTTACGCAACGATAATGAAGCTGATTCACATGAAACGACACTCGCAAAAATAACGCGATAAAAAAGAGATTTCATTAAAAGAGAAATTGCATTTCGGCCGTAATGAGAGCTCCCAATTTCGTGGGGCGGAAAAAAAAGCATCCATTTCGGCCTATTTTCATCGACAAATTGGCGCTTTTTCCATATTTTGCAGAATGAAAGAGTTTCCATTACTGAGCATCGATTCCCGGTCTCACCTTTGCTCGAAAGTAATTACGGAAAAAGGGACGGTGTGTCAAAGTAGAATTAATTATTCGTTCCGTCGTAACTTTTGACTCGCGTAAGCTTATTAAGCGAAACTAACACTACGAAAAGGATAAAAGTTACATTATTTTAATTACTGAGATTAATTTTGAAAATCGAACACAGTCGAAATTAAAGATGGATCGAATATATCACCCGATGATTACTTCGACAAACACGATATTCGAGATCTTGAAAAATCTATGTCGAATCTACGTATAAAAAGTTGAAATTATAAAGAACGAGGTTGCACTACCGTTTCTAAAAATAGCTAATAATCATATCTAGCTCGCTTCAGAACTTTTCATTTGCAACCCCGTTTTCATCGAACCGGCGCTGTCTTAATGCTGATTGATCGCAGCTTCTTGTTCACCATCTCACGCTTCCTCTGCCGAGCGCAAACTTCGAAAAGTTCAAGGTACATACATCCTGCGGACCGTGAGGTAGGAGATAGTTCAACGTGATATAACTCAGGAACAATTTCCAGGAGGCGACAACCGAGAACAGAACTCTACTTTCCGATTCGACCCTCGTACAGACCGTTCATTAGACCCTTTGCGCACGTTAGGTCTCAAGTTCCATAAAACGTCGAAACTCTTACCACCGGCTAGTTACGATTCTCCCCATAAAAAAGCCTAGTTGCTCAACCAAGGGTCACTAGCGTCGTCGGGATAATCACGTGCCATTCGAACAAGCAAACGTTCCCCAATCCCGAAATTCTTACGTCTGCGAAACCTCGCGGGAATATTTAACATATCGATTACGGAAGGGTGCGAGACCTTTTCCCTCCTACGAAGTATAATTTTGGGCGGGAAAAACCATCCATCAAAATTCGTTTATCTATAATCAATACACGAGTGCACTTTAAAAATAAAGTAAAAGCGATAGAGTCAATTTTAAACATCAATTTTCTCAAAAATGAAGTCTAACGCAAAAACATTTTGTTTCACATTTTTCAATTATTCGTACATACAAAATCACCCTATACTTGGTTATACTACTTTTTTGCTGTAAGAACAAATACTAGTTAAATACGATTTCTATTATGTTTGTAATTCAACTTAAAATTTGTTATTAGATGCTACCTGTTCAATCGTATTAAATGCTCTTATATAATATAGTGAGATTTACTAGATATTTGAAGTATAACAATTTAGGAGAATACTAACTGGGTGATACTACGTCGTGAATTTCCTCAAAACCAAGAACTCTGTCAAGTAAACTGCAAAGACATAAATATTACCAATTTTTGCCTTGAGTAAATTATTTCGTATCCTACATATATTGCGTAACATTTTCCCAGAAATAGTACTGCTAGGAATATAACTGCGTATACGTAGGAACAAAAACAAATACGCTGCCAAACAAACGACTCAACGTTACAATGCAACTCACGGTGAACGACAAATACGTTCGTAGGAAACCATTACTGGCAACGGAGAAAATTTACATGAACCAACATTAGCTCCAAACGGATGAACATCGCCAGTTAAAACGATGTTACTATTCTCGCAATACATCCAGGTATAAACGAGCTATACGACCTGGAACTAACGCGACCGCAAATTTGTACAAGTTGGAACGGTAGCATAGACGAATCTGTGTTTAGGAAGCAGAGATATAATTAATAATAACTCGTAAACGTTCGCTATTTACATCCAACCACTTCCTCGTGCACGCACAGTTGAATAATAAATGGGCAAACCACTCGAGAAGCCAAGGAAATTGAAAGAAAACATTTCACTCCTGTACACAAGCTAAATAAATACTACGAATAATAAATAAATACTTTCGTGCATCGAAAACGCCAGATGAACGAAAAAAGGCATAATCTCGTCGTGTTTATCTCAATAAAGAACCGAGTACGGAAGAAAATGGAATACCTTAGGAGGGAAAGATACGTTTAAATACTAAAATATCGTCCATCGAGGATGAAGAAACTTTGCCACTCGGAATAATTAGCGAATCGTTTTCGTATCTCTAACAAGGGAACAGAGTTTCTCAGCCGCGTTTGACCCAGCTAGCTACCCCGGTCATTAGATCCGGTTGCACGTGGCCTGAAGTTGCAGGAATTACAACGACTTTTACGGCTTGCAACTGGCCGAAATTTCGTGCATCTATTTCAAACGTTACTGCGTTTGCATTTCTCCAAAAACAGTCGAACGTTGTTCGAGCGACGTAAAAGAAATCGCAAGGACTGCAGGGACGCGGTTGATTGTACGTAATAACGTTGTACTATAGCGTGATATGTAATATATTATTACACGAGGATATTTTGTTATTCGAAACGTATTTTTTGCGAAACGAAACATTCCTATTATCATCGAAGAGTTTCCTCGAAAATTAGCCTTATACCAAGAAACATCGTGTTCGTAAATTAAATCTAAATAAGTAACGCACAGGGTAATCGAAACTAGAACGAAACGCGCGACACAAACGGGGGAAATCCATGGTGCGCGATCCCATTCATTTCTATCGTGTCGCTGCGGATAAGCCGCGGCGTCCTTGGTTACATCTCGAGAATCGAGTATCGATTGCTTCTCTTGCACGACGATGGGGAAAAAAACGAGGGAAAGAAAGGAAAACAGATTCGTTGCTCGCGCCCCCGCACCTCGTTCCGAGCAAGGCAAACACGTTGCGGGCTAACTGTCGCACCTGCGTCTCCGCGAAACCCCGTGATAGCGGCTCCCCTCGATTATCCGTGGTCGAACGCGACGCTATCAAAACAGTGACACCGTTGACCTCGAAACAGCGGTGTCGTCAAGATTCGCGGATTCGAAATGTTCGCTGGACGATCGAGTCCTCCCGTGGAAAGCGTTTGTTAAATGGCCACCATGCGCACGAGAACCCAGTGGACACCTCGAACCACCCGAGAGAACGTCCAAGAAATTTTAAGAAATCTTCGAGGCTCACCTGATTCTCGTCCGCTGAGCTGGAAAACCGAGGGGTTGGTCGAGTTTGGTCGTTGATTGTTTCGACGACGAGGTAGTTGCCAGCGGAACATCAGCCAGGGATCAGCTGATCGACGAATGACGAACGGGTTGACGATCCGTCACTCGCAATAAAGAGAATTCACCACCGAAGACGATAACCCTCGCCGAACGAAGGTGCGCGGACGACTGACTGCCGCTATCGTCACGGTGGGGTGTAGCTGTGCGCTGATTCTACTAACCCCCACTCCTCGAAACCGCTTCATCTATCCCTCCTTGTCACGCGCACTCGACGCGATCCTCTCTCGTTCCATCCTTCCGTGTCATGTTTCCAACCCCTCTTAGGCAACCCCTCCTTACCCGATGCTCTTTGTCTATTGGTCCTTTTCTGTTTTCCTTCGCCCTTCGCTCTGTTTTCTCCACGATCACCTTCCGCTCTTCTATCACGTTCCCGTCTTATTACAAGTTCCTCGTTTTCTTTCCGGTTTCGGCGGTCCGTCTACCGACCTCTTTCACTTTCTCGTTTTACCGTCTACGTCCGTCGGTCCATCGCGCGTTCTTGGTTCTTCGTTCTCCATTTAATCCGCGCAGGACTAGTTAAAATTTCCGTTGGTACATTCGCGAACGCCATTCCATGTTTCAAAATCGAAAGAGAAGTTTTAGAGACGCGTGAGAATTCGGTCGTATTTTAATCGTAAATGTATTTATCTTATCGATCGGAGTACATTTCCACCTTTTTACACGTAACGTTGTTATAAACTAAGGAAACAATTTTTCCCCTGATATTTTAGGACGAAAGCAGCCAATAGCTAATATTTAAATATCGAAAAATAATTAATACCGAGAAAAATGCAAAAGAAAATATAGTTACTGATTTTTCTAAGCCTTCAGGCTTCCGTTCTATCTGCTTGGTGAGTTTGATTTTTTAAATCGGCGTTCATCGTTTTGTTTTCATAAAAATTATGGCAACTTAACGATACGATTTCCAGGTACATGACTTTCGTAATTGATAACTGTGAATTCATTGTTAAAAATTCTTGAAGCAACGCTGGCTGCGATCTCGACCGTTCCAGTGCCTCTGGCAAATATTTTTAAACCGAACGACTAGATCACGAAATTCACGCACCGGTTGTTACTTTTACACCGCTTCGATAAATCATCCGCTCATAAATAGTCATAAACTGACGTAATTGGAGTTTCAACGACTTAATGCCACGGATTTTTAATATCTACGTTCGTTCAGACATCCATCTTTTTTTTCCAATTTCATGTTTCTCTACCAAGCACGAATACAGATATTTGGATCTGTATTCGAAGAATATTCACAATTTTTTTCTAATAAAAATATTCAATATTCTAGAAGTTTACAACGCGAGTAAAATTAACAAAATTCGATCGACCACAAACAAATCAGAACCACTGCCAGTTTTCTTCGACTATATAAGATTTCATCCTCTCTTCTCCTACCTGTCTGTCTCTCTCGTTCCATCAAGACGCGAATACCGGTCCGTTCGTCGATGAAGTTTGACTGCGGGCAGAGAGACTAGAGACGAAGAAATGGAGGAAAAGACTGCGGAAGCAAGTATAATCGAGCGCACGAGAGAGAAGGAAGTGAAGAGAGGCGTGAGAGAAAAGGGATAGAGTGCAAATAAGCCGGCAGTGGAAGGAAGATGGAAGGTGCGCCCGAGGGTGGAGGAACACTGGCGATTTATTAGATTCCGGAGACCAACGATCACCTATACGCCCGACGGAAAGTTCGGTAGGATTCGAGACGAGATACTTCGGTCGTTGGTTGCCTTGGTAGAGGGAGAAAAAACAACGCGAGAAAAATGGAAATCGGAAGTGTGAGCCCTACGGTGATAGCAAAGAGGACAATGAAGGATCAACTCATCTGGCTTGTAGAAATTCCGGGGCTGTTGTCGCGCGATCGATGACGACCGCCAACAGTTCAAGCCATCATCGTAAATGGTATTTCAATCGAGCAACCGATGATACAGTAGAACCTTCGTTGTATGAACTCCCGCTAAAGGAACCTTCTATTATTCTTGCTTCTTTAAAAAGTTGTAACAAAAATTCTGAAACGCGACGTAAACATTGTAAATAGTTATGATTTCCTTTCAAAGTGTCGCCCGCCTTTGTCGAGACAAATGTATCGACGTACTACTGAATTTATTGTTGATTTCAGTTTAACTAACGTTTGTAATTCCGCGAAATCGATTTAACACGGAAGGCACTGCCAAGAACAACGTTAGTTTTACCTCGTGAGACAACAGCTGGTCGCAAAGTTAGCAAATACCGTGCGATGGTGTTAGTTTGCGCAAACTCTACAGGGTCTCGTAATCATTACTAAGAGTAGAAAGTCTAGATGTTTGAAACATACTAATATGAGTAAAAGAAAGTTACAAGAAAAGGATTAAGGATGACGTCTTTGCAAACTTTTAAATCTTGATAAAAGTGCTTTCTTTAGTAACAAGGGAAATTTTGTAATCGATACGCTTCACCTTCGAAGAAATTCTGATTTTTCAAAATACCAAATTCGAGCGTAACACAAGAGCAACGGGCTTCTATCATCGATTGGTTTGTTCCAATCAAAGGGTGGTCCTTCGAGCTTCGAGGAACACATTGTATCGACGTTAAGTTTCATTAAACGAACGCCAGGACGTGTCAAAGAGAGCACTTTTGGGAATGCAATAAACGCACTATGCATTAGATCAAACACGTGGATACTTGAAATCGACAATGTTCGGTAGAACTCGATTCATTGCACGTTTGTCCGTTAACGATTCGCCGCCTGCGCGCGTAACGTTCCTAGCAGTTATCAATTTGCCAGGAAATAATTTACACTTTCCAACACACTGGCTCCACAGGGAAATATATTGCGAATATGCATGCGCTATGCATGAATATGAATACGGGTGAATCATTACGCGATAGAAGAAAGTTCGTGAACGGGTTTTGTGCCGGGCGGAAACGTTCCTTAGATAAGAGTCTCGAAACTCTCTCGGCGCCAACGACACTTTCCAGGTGTACCCAAAGGTATCTCAAAATCTCTAGCTAACTTTCTCGCGATGCAGAAACTTTTACAAAATACGGGGAACCGGTACATCGAACGCGTCCAAGACTGTCCCAAAGTATTTTTCGAGATCGGTTCCTGGTCTCTCGAGATGCTTCCTGTCCGTTCAGAATATTATGGCGCATGCTGAACTTACAGATTTAGAATGATACAGTATGTCAGAGGGCAACTACCATCGAAAAGTATGTTATCTTCGACTCGTAGAACGATCTATTCAAGATTTTACTAATATTTAAGAACGTTATTTCGAGAAAGGGCTCACGAGCTCCATTGGACTGCCCAACGAGGTGGAAAAAATTAATTAAAAAGTGACGCGAAGGTGACGAAAAAATAGCTAGTTCTTAATTTCTACAATATAGTTTTAGAATATTTCATAAGGAAATTTATTTTGCCCACGATATCAGGAGCAGGTCAGCGATGTTACTCGAGAGTCAATAACCCAATTTACGACTACATAGGATCATAATTATGATACCAAACAGATATAGGTGCGTTAGTGTGATAGAAAACAAACAGAAGATACGTGCGTTGCATACTCTAGATCACAGACTATGTGTCTAGCAATAGGGGGATCAAATAATAAAACCATATTCCAATTATGAGCAAACCAAAGAGTTATATGATATGAAATGTTAAGGGAGTGGAAAAGTTTGAGTTGACTACACGATAAATAAGGCCTAGAGTTTTCTTATTTTTTACAATAATTACACAATATTTCGAACTTAAAATTGCTAAATCAAAACATTGCTAAACTAGCCCCTTCTAGGACCACTGCGTCCAAGAATCCACATGATTCTGTATTACGACAAATAAAATGTTGAATAGAAGAAAAAATGAGAAACTGTTCAAGAAAATATACTTTGCTAGGCGTTCGGAAATTGTTCTAACCAAGAATGGAACACCAAGCACGTTGTAACTGAACGTGACGTGCTCCCTGCATCGAATGCCATAACTTTGGGTCAGTTCTGACAAGCACGTTAGCAGTGATTTAGGGTAGAAACAGGGAAGCTAATCGCACACCGTGACGCACACCGGAAGGTATATCCAGTCCTAGTATCCGGTGAACTCTGGTTAAATCGATCTGAAAATCGGACTGGAAACAGTCCGTCGAATTGACGCGAACACGATTGACAATAACGATATCTTTCAATTTTGCAAACTCGTCCGATAAGGATATTCACATTCGTAAGTGGAAGAAGAAAAAAGACTGAATGGTTCTTCCTTTGCCCAAACGTATTAAGCCTATAAAACGTAAGCAATCGAATTTTTATTATAAAATACCAATACATCTTTGACACTTAAAGAAACAAGTGTTTCGTATCTTTGGCTGATTCAAGTACCAAACACTGCAGAAACATTAGTTTTATAAATTGTTAAAATTACAGAACAATAGCTTAGTTGCTTTTGAATATATCTGTCTTCTAACAGTGTAACTGTAGTAATTAGTCTCATTGTGCGATTCAATTCTGTTCCTTTTAAGGAACTACGCGAAACAATTCAAATTTCTGTCAGCCTTTGGTACGAGTACAATATTTGGCAACAGCAGCTAATGGAAGGAAGGCGCCAGCCAGTTTTCGCGCAGTGTTTATTCTACGATTCATGTCTCTATCCTTCGTTTTCGTACAGCAGCCGCCACTTTATACGAGCTGCGCTAAATCATAGACGACATTTTCGTAGCGAGTGACCCAGAAATTAAAGTATTCCATCTCCGGACGTCTTCCTTGCTCGATCGTTCTTTATTTCGTTTATTAAGGCGGCATTCTGCTTTACGAGTTTTGAAAAATTCATATCTCTGCATTTTTTGTAGTTTTGGTGGTTCAAAAGTATCCACCGATGTATTCTCATTAATTGATAATTTTTATTCCGCGTGTATGTAAGAGCAATTTGTTAATGATATTTTACACACTTCCAGACTTTAACGTAACCTCGGAAAATTATTCATAAAACAATACAAATTTTTTTTAGAAATACTTTTATACCATATGTACAATATTAGAAATAACAGAAATGATTTGTTACGACTTCGATTACTCATGTTTCTCATCCTGAAAGGATCTGTAACTCAGGTCGAAAACGTTGAAATATACGATGCATGAAATGCAC